TGTGCCGACAAAGCTATTGTGTCATCGGATTGGGAATATTTGTGTATAAATATTAGCTGATATACAGTGTGTCTAAAAACGCAAGCCAACTTTAGCATTAATTTGTGCTTTACTTAATTACTCGCCGCCGTTTTGAAAAACAGCGGGATTTGCAAACTGAGTTTGCAACTTCAGGAAGCGAGCATTGCCAAGCAACGCTAATTGCATTATTAATTGCAGCTATAATATGTCATCAATCCAGGTTCAGTTGCTTAAACGCAGTGTGAAACCAAGCAAGTAATAAGTTAATTTTCTGTTATGCATAGCATGAATAATTTCTGTTAGAGAATATAGCATGAATAATATTCAACCTAGATTTTGTTTATGTTCAAAGTATGGCATGATAATTCCATATCGAAACATCGAAACTTATTTGCCAACATAGATCCAGGCAGTATAAAAAATGCAGTGGCTTGAATGGCTTATACACGTCTTCCGCCTTTCCCTAGGCCCTAGCTAGTGCGCACATGAATCTGGCACAAACGTTTTCACCATATTCACCAAGATATATTTACATATTCCAAAAACAATAGCTGCATTGACACCATTGTCTTAACTATTTTACGGAATTTACGCCTGCGCCTGCGTTGTGCGGTAAAGAATAATACAAGACTCCTTTTAAGCTTCCACTGGTTAAGAAAAGATGGGACAACTTTCTGACACAAGAGTTTATATAGTTAAAAATGCCCTGGTTATAGTGGGTTTCAGTAAGTGTTATACATGGGGAAACACCACTTTATTACATGCATGTATTGAAGAGTTAATATGCCTACATAGGTAGGCTGTCAAATTGGTAAATTGCGTGTATTTGCATGGGCGTTCCGAATACGAATCTCGTTCATACGCAGAGTAATTCAGGTGCAATAGCGCGCTGAAGTTGGGTTAGTTGGATTTTTTTTATGCACCCTGTAGAGAACAATTGAGCAAATAATTATGAGTCCGATAAAAATTGTTTGTCGAAATCTCATATATTCTGACCGCTACGCCTAATTAAAGCAGTGTATAAGAGAAGGTATTATATTGATGTATAGGGTGTATCAAAAAACCTGCTAACTAACCCATTGAAATACAATGTTTTTAGAATTTGCATGATTCAGAACTATTTTATCCCAAGCGTACATATAGTAATTTCTATCAACGCGGTTAATTAAATTAGATGGGCAGTTCAAATCTCATGCAGGAGCAAAATAAATAGCATATACATGGTGAGTAAAAAAACCTGATACCTTCGCGGCTAATTTGAATAACAAAGGTGTCAGTTTTTTTACTCACCCTGTACATTGAAATGCTAGTAAGCAGTACAATTATGCAAATTATATAGTGTTTGTAGGTATATTGATACACCCTGTATTGCATGGTTTCTTAAGAACGGAGCAACAACATATTATATTGATATATTGCGTGGTTTCTTAAAAACGGAGCAACAACATATTATATTGATATATTGTGTGGTTTCTTTAAGAACGGAGCAAGAATATATTATATTGATATATTGCGTGGTTTCTTAAGAACGGAGCAACAACATATTATACTGATAAATTGCGTAGTTTGTTAAGAACGGAGCAACAACATATATTGATATATTGCGTAGTTTCTTAGGAACGGAGCAACAACATATTATACAGGTAAATTGTGTGGTTTCTTTAAGAACGGAGCAACAATATATATTACTGATATTGTTTGTGTGGTTTCTTAAGAACGGAGCTACAATATTACTGATATTGATATATTGCGTGGTTTTTTAAGAACGAGAAACAACATATTATATTGATACAGTATATGTGTGGTTTCTTAAGAATGGAGCAACAACATATTATATTGATATAGTAAACAGCATATTATAATGTTTGAAGTTATTGTAGGTTCACGATCTGTAAATCATTTTTACGAACCGTACGCTTCGTACAATCCGTAAAGCCATTTCACAGTTCGTATGGACCGTACGGATTTGTCGGATCGTGATTGTCTTACGAGCCGTACGAATGGTACGATCCGTCGAACTGTTGGTAGATCTGGGCAACAAGCATCTGCTATTGGAGACCACCACCTATTGCGTTTACGAGTTGATACGGATCGTGACTTGTGTTTACCGTACGTACGAATTTGACGGATCCGTGAAGCTGCTTCACGATCCGTATCATGTCGACAGTATTGGACATGTATGGAAAGTATTTGCCTTGGGTTTTCTTACAGACTGAGCGATGGAGGAGCGAGGTCTGTGCAGATAAACCGAAGGCAAATACTTTCCCATACAGACCGAGCAAAACGAGGTTAATAAACCGTTTACTATATGGCTCCTTAAACACATTTTCTGATTTTCATATATTTGTTTGAGCGCTATAGAGGTATTTTTGAGCTGTTTTATATTTGCTAGTTTTCTTTGTTTAGATTTGGTTTCGTCACTGAATATTGTTTACGGAAAAGCATGTTTAACAATCGCTTTAGAACTACTTTTTCGGTAACCTCCACCCCCTTATAAACCCAGTTTATATGATATTTGTTTAGAATATGGTATTAAAGGCGTTAAATTCATCTTTATTTATTTTTTGAAACAAGTAAAATCAAACAATTTCCCCGCCAAAACTTATGGTTGCCAGTAAGAGTTCAAACAGCTTGTTTTCTTAGCTTTTTTGATTAAATTTGTGTTGGTACAAGTACATTTCCAAGACTTCATATTCTTAAACTCCTCTCCCACCCTACCCATAGTATAATTGCAATTTATCACCCAGAATCTGGGTGAAACGGGACCAGCCGAAACCAGGGCCTTTCCTTTGCCTCACACCGTTCTGAGAAAGACCCTGGGAATGAAATTGGATGGTACATCACATGTGATATTAGTTTCTTATCCAGTTTTTTTGTTCGCATTACTATTATTGACTGTTGTAGCTATATTTATGTGAAAGTTTGTAGTTCAGCCATTGTTACGGAACGGTTATATATTGTGTTAAAAATATTTTGACTTTGTTGTTTCTGATGACATTTGTTGACTCTCAAATTTTTGCTATCGACTTTTTGCTATCGACTCTCAACTTTTACTCTCGACTCTCTACATTTACTCTCGGCCTATACTCTAGACTTTTAGATACACTCGATTGTAGGCGACTCAAATCATTGTTCTTTTACATGCCTCAAATGTCGTGGCTTAACTTGACCTTGATGAAAATGGGTTTGGGTTGGGCATTTTTTAGGCTTAAATCGAAAAGAGCTTAACTCTTAACTCGGAATGGCTTAAATTGAGGGGGCTTAACTCAAAGATTACCTACCTCTCAAAAACGATTTATTATGTTCATTCATTGGCATAGTAATGTTGAACAAGAGTTGCATAAGTCGATAATATCACAGTTAAAGTTTACTGAAATCAAGGGAAATCTCTATCAGATATAAAGAAAAGGCATGCTTATGATTTTCCTTTGTGTTGTCATGAATTATTATTGATTTTAGAAGCAATTATAATTATCCTCTTACTGAACCACCGTGCGGCTCCAGACATCTGATATTCGCACAAACAACCAAATGACTTAATGCTACCGCATACGAGTATACCCAACATCATTTTGTTCATATAATTTCTTAAACTTTTTGTAGAATCCATGACCATGGAAACTGATGGCTGATGTTGCTGTGAGAACTCTCCTCGCTACCACGTACAATCCTGGAAAACTATTTGTTAATTCCACAATGGAGACTATTTGTTAATTCCACAAATATATATTATAACATGTTAAAATCGTACATTTTGAAAAAGTCTACTAATTTTTTTCCAGGATTGTCTGAAAATGACTAAATTAGTACTATTTTAGATAACAAATTCTTGTGAATTTTGAACACAAAGCTTAAGGTGGCTCACTACAGTTTATAGAAATGTTGAAAATGCATAAACTAGATCACCTTTTTGAAGAGATGATGCTCTTTACAAATCGATCTGTTGCTATGGCAACAATGACGATTCAAGATGGCCGATATTTTGGCTTTGAACGCATTTTACTTCAAAAAAAGGTCGGTTACCCCCATTTTTTATTTCAGAAAACATTTTCCTATAGTACAATACACTATCTGACCAATTTTTAAAAAAATTCTGTAATGCCAATAAACATGGTTTTTCAAAATAATTTTTTTTTGCATTACAGAATTTTTTTTAAATTGGTCAGATAGTGCATTGCACTATAAGAAAATGTTTTCTGAAATAAAAAATGGAGGTAACCGACTTTTTTAAAGTAAAATGCGTTCAAAGCCAAAATATCGGCCATCTTGAATCGTCATTGTTGCCATAGCAACAGTGGTGACGTCACATTTCTGACCAATTTTCTTCTGTTTGATTGTCGCTGTATATATAATATACAAATTTCGATTTGTAAAGAGCATCATCTCTTCAAAAAGGTGATCTAGTTTACGCATTTTCAACATTTCTATAAACTGTAGCGAGCCACCTTAAGGTATCTAGCCAATCAATTGATTGTAGAAAATGATGTTCTTGATTTCATACAATTCTGTGATGCGCGGGGAGGGTGGTGTCGAGTCAGGGGGGTCTGCATGCATAGTCTTTTAAATGAATTCCTAGCTAATCTTAGCTGAGTGACAGGAAATCTGCGAACTTACTTTGTCCATTTTAGTGCTGACGATCTTTAATACAGCTTTTTTATCGTAGCTAAATCTCAATTGTAGCATTTTCTTTACAGATGGCCAAAAAGTCTTGTAAAAACGTTGCTTTGGTGCATTCTGTGAAAATTAGAGCTGCATATCAATTGTCAAATATTTGAGGAAAACTTTTAAAAATGTTTCCTCAGTATTCTAAAGCTGCAATATATAAGCACGCTGAGAAGCCACTAAATGGTGAATCTGTAGTTGACAGGAGAAAAGCAAATAAAGGCAAAATTATCACCTCAAGACAAGAGAAGTATGGTGCGCTCCATAACAAGTCTCCAACAAAAGGAGGGTTCTTTTATACTTCTAAACGTGTTCAGGTAGAAAGCGGTGTAAGCCATGTGAGTGGTCGCACTATTAGGTATTGCTTAAATGTGGACGGATATTGGTATTTGCAAACGCGAAAAAAAAGCCTTCTCCACGCCAAAGATCTAAAATCAAGGATAAAGTTTTGCAAGAAAATTAGAAAGCAAAAATTGGGTGACGAGTTCTGGAGGACAGGGGTATCATTTTATTTGGGTGGAAAGGGATTCCAGTACAAAAGTGGTTACCCTTATGACCAAGCACATGCACCTGGAGCTCGAGAGTGGAGAAAACGGGGAGAAGGCTTGAAGTTCATTTGCAACCCCCAGGAAAAAAGGAAGGTGGTATCACCGTGAACTTCATGATGGCAATATCATATGCTCATATGGTAAGAGTGTATTTCTCTGTGAACAATATTATGGGACAATAACTGGCCCAAAATTTGCAGAAATTGTCAAATCTTTTCCAAAAGTGTTCAACAAATCATCAAGCCCTGAAGCGAGAAAATTTCTCATGGATGGATGCCCGAGGCAAAATTCAAATGTAGCAATGTGTGCTATCGACAAAGTGAATGCATTTGTATTGAAAATTCCCCCATGAAGCCCTGACCTTAATCCAATTGAAAACCTTTTCCATACACTAACAGTGCAACTAAACAACGATGCATTCCGAAAGAATATTACGAAGGAAACTTTCAAAGAGCTATCATCGCGAGTCAAAAACTATTTTGAGCATTAGTTCTGAAGCAATTGACAGAATTATTGACAGTATGGATAAAAAGATCACTGCAGTTCTTAACTCAATTCGATCCGCCAATATTAATTTCCGACGTATATGACGGGAAGATTAAATATTAAAGAACTTCGCGAGTATTTGCAGTAGACATACGAAAATACCACCAAAAAATTCCGCTTGATCGATACTATATATTCAGAAATATTCATATAATTTTATTGTTTCTCGCTCAATTTCAAGCGAATTTCTTACCTTGAAATGATCAATGCGGTGAAATTTATGCAAATGACACATTATCAATTTTGCTGTTGCATTTTGAATGTTCCGCCTGATTCAAATGCTCGTCTTTTTGCTTCTTTTCAACGTATAATAATAACAAATATACCAAAAGAATCGCCATCTTCCATTCTATAGCTCGGAGCAGTCTCGGGAAATTGCAAAATAATCTAAGCCTATTATGGCAATTCTCGTGATCGGAAAGTGTTCGGCCAACTTCGGACGCCAAATTCTTGGTAAAGCATTACAGTTTCCTGGTAAAAGACTGCAGGAATCACTTCCGGAGTGTTTGTTTACCCTAGATACGGATTTTGATTGGCTTAGGCAGAAAAACAAATCTTTTAGAGCAATTTTCCTGATTATCGCGCACGGGAACGCACGAGCGTTGAAATGTATTGTGTTGTAGTTTTGTTTGAATCGCATTCTGAAGACGTTTTTGGCTTTATTTTGCAAACTGATAGTGCTAGTAATGATGGAATGTCTTCGTATGAAGACAAGTATCTCAACCTGGCATTGGGAGTCGTGTCTGGAGTTTCAAGGCAAGTATTTGTATAATTTCTAGACAATTTCTATTTCAATGTTTTGCCGTTGCCATGGCGTTGTAAATTTATTTGTATTTAGTATAGCTTCACTAGGACGACCAAGTATGTCCTCATATCGCTTTTTTGTGTTGAAATAATCGTTTCATACTGAAATTGACAAATATAAATGGTATTTAATTATATTGTTGACGGAAATTTATGGTGTTTTAGGCATAAAAATCTCTGATTCCTAGGCGAAGTAAAATGAGCCTTGAGCACATGTTTGGTTGTTTGTTACATACATAATAGCCAAGTATTCATACTTATATCTTACTAGTTGGCTCTTATTATAATTTTAAGTGGCACCATGTCTATAAAAGTTTTTATTTGCACTGATGAATATATTGATCCTGTTCCTATCTGCTGTTCCTGTTTCATAGCCTCAGGGAAGTAGAGTTCTGATGAGTCACGAGAACCCCACTCACCAACCCAGAGGGAAGGTAGGGGGATGAGTAGAGGTAGAGGGAAGCCCAGCCATTAGGACCTAAGGTTTCGAAAGCTCCCTGTCTAGCATCCCCACTAGGCCCCATAGTACATGACGGATATGATGATCCTGACGCCAGGAATGTTCTCCCAGATTTTGCTCCTCACTGACATGTCCGGGATCCATTTCGATCAACTGTGAGCTTGAGTTCATTCGGCTCAATGAACTGTGAGCTTGAGTTCATTCGACTCTTTTTTACTAAGGGAATGCTTCAGGAGGTAGTTTCCTGGCCATACCAATACATATGCCCACATACAAATAACTCAAAAGTTATCCCCATATACTAATAAAGAAGGGTCTTGCAGTCCACCAACCTTGAGAGGTTGATTGCCTTTTAGTATAATATGCAGGTTTGCTAAAGGTCGACAGTGAGATTGAAAATTATTGGAGTGTAAAAACCTTATATCATGGTCTGTTATTACTGCCTTGGAAAACATTACTTTTTTATAACTACTAATTATGATGATGCCAGTCCAACAACACTTGGTCATGCTATTTGCAAATATTTTCATGTTCTAGATTGTGGAAACAATCAATTTCTAAACAAATGAGTAGTGATTATTTCAAATTTGAATAGCATGACCAAATTTTGAGGCTGGTTATGACACTAATAACTAAAGTCAATGGTGTAATGATTATCTAAGAATGTATGTAGTAATTGTAGAAATAAAGACATTTTGCTAATCATGATTTGAGTGTTCTTTTGTGGGTATCACAGACTTATTTTGGTGCCATACTATCTTTGGAGAGTAAGAAATATTGGAAATTTGTATTGATAACATGTTGCAGCGATAAAAAAGGACCTTTGATAAAGGTATTTGTTTCATGTGAGCACAAAATGTAAATTTTACTCCACTACCTAGTTTATATAAAAATTCAATAAAAATATTTCTATTTATGTTACATGCATGAAACTTCGGGTACTTGTAGATCATAACTGTGTCTTTCAGTCATATTCATAAAATTTTTTGACATATTTGAAATTTGAACCGCTATATCGTTGGAAAGCAGAAATCCTCCTCTTTCGAACGTTGCAATTTCTGTTTCCGTGCGATGTATAGTTTGAGAGATATAAGCGTTTGAAACAACACCACTCGAAATTACTACTTTTCCACCGGATGAGAATGAGTTCAAGGAAAGGGTCAAAGAACCAAATATTAGTTTAGTATATGCGTAAATGTCCGTATCATTATATTTTGGAAATTTTTAAGTGCAAAAATCCAGCAGTGCTGCTGTATAATTGACATCATTTATCACTCACAAGATCGAATATCACATGATTTTAATTAATATAAATATATAGTCAAGTATTTGCCCCAAATTGGGCACTTATTTTAGTTTCAATTTGTAACTAATACATATAGCCCACCACATATACTAACGCTCACCTCATTCCAAATATAAGCAGACCCGAATATAAGCCTATCCGAATATAAGCCCCCAAATATAAACCCCCAAATATAAGTCCCCCGAATATAAGCCCAGTAGCCCACTTCGTTATTCAACATTGACATTGTCTTTTAATATGGCAACGAACGATATTTAAAAACATTGTCATTGTTTTTATAGCCGACTATGTGAATCAAAGCTCGTTATTAATACATGTTTATTTTCCTGTTTATGACTGACGTGTTTATGTCTGACTTGTTTATTACTAACACAAAAAATCGTCCATGTATTAGCCCCCGCCCCCGTATATAAGCCCTCCTTGTATAAGCTCATCAAAAATCGCTTACGAACGTATATAAGCCCAGGGCTTATAGTCGGAGGTTTACAGTAGTATGATTAAATTCATCACGTTACATTGTGTTATACTATACAATTACTTTATGGTTTTCGTGTTTGGATCAGGCCATCCAAACACGGAAACCATAAAGTAATTGTTTTATAAAATAACAACACGATAGTCTGCCGTGGTTGGATGGCCTGATCCAAACACAGGTTTCGACCAATCAGAGCATGTGTTATATACACGTTATTTTATAATACATGTTACACCACATGTTTTTTATATTTTACTATAGATCTTGACATGTTACACCTACTTTTTAAAATAATCTGTATAAGGTGTAACATTTCAAGATCTATAGTAAAATACACAAGTTGAGGTGTAATGTTATAGATAAAGTAACAAGGGCTATTGATGAAGGAAAATACACAGCTAGTGTTTTTCTTGATTTGTCAAAAGCTTTTGACACTATCGATCACAAGATTCTGATTGGGAAACTCGAATATTATGGGATCCGAGGCATTGCAAAATGTTGGTTTGAAAGTTATTTAAGAAATAGGAAACAAATAGTTAAATATAACACAGTGCAATCTACAGAAAAATCGATACTCACAGGTGTGCCACAGGGTTCGATACTTGGACCACTACTCTTTATTTTATACATAAATGATATCCAAAACTGTACTAAAACTGTTTCAATTCTTCTATTTGCCGATGATACAAGTGTACTTTATAGTCATTCCAACATTAAAATACTTCAAGAAACACTTCAAGTAGAAATGAATAAAATTGCTGAATGGCTAAATTTAAATAAATTGCCTATCAATACTACAAAAACAAAGTTAATTGTGTTTAAATCTCCAAATAAAAAGAAACAGGAATTGCACCTGTCTGTAAATAATCAATCGGTTTCACAAGTTAGAAGCACTACATTCTTAGGTGTCGTTATTGATGAATATTTAACCTGGAACGATCACATAGAAGCGGTAACGAAAAAAGTTATGAAATCATCTGGAATAATAGCAAAACTGCGCCACTATACAAACCTAAATACATTAAAACTAATCTACTATGCTTTGGTCTATCCATATCTTATTTATGGCAACTTACTCTGGGGAAATACATATAAAAAACAAATTCAAAAACTTATAAATGTTCAAAAGAAGATTGTACGTTTAATGACTTTTAGCTCTCACTTAGATCATACTGAAAACATATTTCAGCACCTACATATATAAAACTTAAGCAAACTAAACGATTATCTTACCAGTTTGTTCATGTTCAGATATCATCTCTTAAAAAACTTACCTGAATTTTTTGCGAACTACTATATTTCAAATAGTGAAGTTCATAGACATAATACAAGAAATTCTATGAAACTTCATAAGCCTTATCAAAGAACAAACTATGTTAAACATTCACTCTCTAACAAGGGAGTTGATATCTGGAATAATCTTGACCCAAACTTTAAAAATATAGCATCTTACTATATATTCAAGAAAAAATCGAAAAAATACTACATACTGAATAACTGAAAAACTACTACCAAAACAACATCTGCAATATCAAATTTTTATATAAATTAATAATAATACACTTTTGTGATCATAACATTTTATTTACTGTAGCACTATATGTAAATACTTTATCATATTGCACCTCACTTGAAGCACTGTCACCTAGTTTTGTTTGTAAATAGGATCCTTATTTTGTAATTTAAAATGTAACTAGGGGTCTTAATCAAAAGCCTTTTGATGGTTTCTAGTAGGCCCCTAGCCCTAGATAATAAACATGTAAATATAATAATCAAAATTTTTGTAATTAAATTGGGCGAATTAAATTAAAAAAAAAAAATGTAGTGTAACATGATGTAATATGTAGTATAAATATTAGCCATAATACAACGTGTTGATAATATACAATAAAAATATAGTCAAGGTATACTTTGCAATCCTGATCAATCTGAGAGTTAGATCAAGTCAAGACAACATAACATGGTGGCAGCAGTGGGATAAAAACCCCAGCTTGTTAATGTGAGCGATTTTTCGACACCAGCGATAGAGACGAAAGCAAAAATGTGAGCTGATGGTCAAAAGTATACTCAAAGATGCTGAAGGAGAAGAACAAGTCAGCTATATCCTACTATCGGTACATCTACAACAGTTGGACATTCGAAGACGTGAAAGACCAAAAAGACCCAGCGAAGATTCTTGATAGATTTATGGAACATTTGGAGCAACGGACAAATCATCAAATTCACAGGTATACTTTACAAGGTATGCAACAAGACCAAGGTGAGTCAATCAATAATTTTATTGCCAAGATTAAAAATATCGCAGCCAAATGCAAGTTTAATTGGCAATGAAGAAATGGAGGACAGATTATTAGATCAACTACGTTGGGGTACAAATGATCCTGAAGTTCAGAAATCCTTAATTGGACGCGATGAAAAACTAACATTAAACACTGCCATAGATATTGCTAGAAGTTATGAAGCAACGAAGCATCAAATGCATTCATTATCAAATCAAAATAAGGGAAATCCCCAGCAAATTGATAACATTACTCACAAGAAATTGAACGCTGATAATAAAAATCAATATTATTATTCAGTGTAGAAATTGTGGCAAAACTCACAAACTGCCACATAAAGGGAACTGTCCAGCCCATGGTACCACATGTAGGAATTGTGGCAAATTAAATCACTGGCAAGTACTATGCAAATCACCTATGAGCCAACAAAGATCAAAGTCGCCATACCGAAAAAACAAAAAATCCATTAATAGTCTTGAGAAACAAAATGAGACTGACCCGTATGCAGATATCCCAACAATTGGCACTATTGAAATAAACAGTGTGGAAAATCATGATAATACTACTAGTGAAGAAATATTTACTACTCTACGTGTTAACCGTAAGAATAATGGAGATATAAATTTAAAATGCAAAGTAGATACGGGTGCTCAGAGCAATGTATTGCCCATTCATTTGTTTCGTGTTCTATATCCTGAATTAATTAATGCAGAAGGAATGCCCAGGGACGGTGCTCTGCAAAGAAGTGATGTTATTTTAACTGCATATGGGGGATCTGAGATTACCCAATTTGGAAAAATACTGATACCATGTCAACATAGAAGGGGGAAATTTAACTGTATTTTTTAAGTAACTGATGCAGTAGGACCAGCTATATTGGGAATAAAAACGTGTAGAGCCCTTGAACTGGTTTCACTTCATTGTGCACTGGAATCAAAAAGTGTGCAAGGAAAAAACGTCTCTCGGGATGTTGCCCAGGGGTCTAGCGAAGAGGAAGTAAAGCCCAGTAAGAGTGTTAGATTTGCAGATCAAGCAAAGATAATAAATCAGCAACAAAATCGGTCCAGGAGTTATATTAAACCTTCTGTGCCAATAACAAGCTGTCCTCGTATAAAGGACAAAGAGCATCTGATTGAGATGTACCCAGAATGTTTTGATGGGTCAGTTGGATGTTTTGAAGATTACACCTACCATATTACCCTAGATCCTAAAGTTAAACCAGTTGTTCATGCATCTCGCAGAGTACCATTAGAACTGGTAGATAAACTAAATTTCGAACTTAATGAGATGGAAAAGAACGGGGTAATAGAAAAAGTAACAAAACCTACCGATTGGGTTGGTTTAAGAGAAAAGCCCAATGGAAGACTTTGTTTATGTCTTGACCCTAAAGACTTAAATGAAGCAATCATGAGGGATCATTACCCAACACCCACCTTAGAGGAAATCACCCCAAAGTTAGCTGGAGCTAGGGTATTCAGCAAAATAGATGCTCGTAACGGATATTGGAATGTTAAGCTGGATGACAAATCATCCTATCTAACAACTTTCAATACACCGAATGGTCGTTATAGATTCCTTAGGATGCCATTTGGTCTTCGAATGAGCCAAGATGTTTTTCAATTGAAGATCGATGAAACTTATCGGAACTGTCGTGGTGCTACTGGGATCGCAGACAATATCACAGTCAATGGCGGAGATGAATCAAATCACAATCTTCATGATGCAATGGAACGTACCAGAATGGCTGGCATCAAACTCAACCAAGAGAAGTGCATCATCAAGACGTCCGAATGCAGTTTGTTGGGTATGGTATACACCTCGAGTGGAGTCAAACCAGATCCAGAGAAGGTCATAGCCATACAGAACATGGAAACACCCAAAGATAAGAAAGAACTTCACACGTTCCTTGGTATGGTCAACTACTTGGCGTCATTTATGCCTAACTTGGCAAATCACACGGCACCTTTGAGGGAGTTACTCCGGGATAACGTTGATTACCAATGGTCCCCGTCCCATACAAGAGCTTTTGACATACTCAAGTGTCAAATAAGCACAGAAACTACACTTTCCTACTACGAGCAAAGCAGTTGTGCTACAAGTAGACGCATCAAGTAAAGGCTTGGGAGCCATCTTATTACAAGAGAATAAGCCCATTGCCTTTGCATCGAAAGCCCTAACTCCTGCTGAGAGTCGGTATGCCAACATCAAGTGCGAGTTATTGGCGGTGGTGTATGGTTGTGAGAAGTTTCACACATACTTATATGGAAGGCAATTTGTTGTGGAAAGTGATCATCATCCTTTGGAACAGATCCAGAAGACGAATCTCGACATGGCACCTCCTCGTCTTCAATGAATGCTCCTACGCTTGCAACCATACGATTGTATCATCATCAAATATAAGCCAGGCAAAGAGATGGTGATAGCAGATACACTTTCGAGACTGTCACCAAGGGAGGGAGACGAAATCACTGGAATGCAAGTGAAAATTCATAATCTGGAGTTCTCACCTGTTGAGCTCCAACAGATAAGAGAAGAAACTGCTAAAGGTGGAACTCTCCAAATCCTCACCGAGCAAGTTATGGAAGGGTGGCCTGATAGCATAAAGAAAACTCAGCAAGCAATAAAGCCTTACTGGAATAACCGAGATGATATCTCTATTCAAGAAGGAGTTCTACTATTAGGAAGTAGAATAATTGTTCCAAAATCACTCCGGCAGAAGATATTGCAAGAAATCCACAGTGGTCATCAAGGGATGGAGAAGTGCAAACTCTGCACAAAATCATGTGTCTATTGGCCTGGCATATATAAAGGGGATTGAGAATATGGTGGCGTCCTGTCATGCCTGCAAGAAATTCCAGAATTCTCAGCAGAAAGAGCCCATGATTCCAAGTGAAGTACTGCCAAGACCATGGCACACTGTGAGCGCAGACCTGTTCAAGGTAAATAATTTCTGGTACATAGTTATCGCTGACTATTATTCAAAGTTTCCATTCGTGAAGAAGTTGAATAATCTAACAGCAACCACTGTAGTTAATGTGGTTAGATCAATATTTTCTGAGCAAGGCATACCAGAAACTCTGATTTGTGATAATGGAACCCAATTCACTTCTGCCCAATTACAAGACCTAGCTAAGAGATATGGTTTCAGAGTGGTGACTTCGTCACTGTACTACCCAAAGGGACCTGGCTTCATTGAGAGACAGGTCCAAACTGTGAAGATAAAATACCACTAATAAACAACGTCCCTAATTGTTATATCTGATTTAACCTTAGAGACAATCCTGGAAAAAATATAGGGAGACTATTTGTTAATTCCACAAAAATACTATAAAGTGTTAAAATCGTACATCATACATTAATCTTGATGCTAATTAATCTGGCATAGCACATAATGTTGTGCTCATTGTAGTGTGTGGTTGAGATAGTATTTTGAAATTCTCGCATGGTTCTGTGTGAATGGCGAGAACCAGGTTCAAGTTGTGACAAGTAATGGAAGTACAGTACTTGATAAGTAGGGGTTAGAGGACTAACAATTGCTCACAGTAATGAAGGTTTCTAACAAATGCAGCAAAGGTATCAAAAGTTGTATCAAAAGTTGTATCAGAAGTTGTATTATAAGATATATCAAAAGTTGCTGTGCAGCAAACTGCATAATGATTCAGAAAAATAAATCCTATTCCACTCTACGAAGGTCTGGAAGACCGAGGTGCACTACATCACAAGAGGATCGGTGGTATATCAAAACAACTTCTTTGCATAACAGAACTGCAAGTCGTCCATTCAGAGCACATGCAGCTAATCTCCTTTCCATTATGTTGCTAATTGGTTTCTGTTGGATTGCGTTAATTAAGGGGATTGACTGTATATTACCAACAGTTGCAGTTTTGTTACGCAAAGAAGTTAATTCCTGCCAGAGGAACTAGTATTGCATTTTTTGCAACCATTCCTGGTCATGTCTAAAATAGTGTGTATATGTGATCACTTGGATTATCTTCCATACCAGCTTATAATTTCCACCAAGTGAAGTGCGAATCCCAGTTTTCAAGTCCACCTGTTAACACATCTATATTTGCAGGAAATTGCCTCTGTTTGAAACCCTCGTTACTCCGAGCAATTATTTGTTCTCTAACTCCTTTACTGAACCTTAGGTGTTCATGTGTTTAGAGGATTATATTAACTTCTGTTCTCATTTATTATGGCCAAAAACAGAATGAAAGGCGTGTGGGAGACAATTGCAGAGCACAATGCATATGTTTAGTGCTCCTACTATTTTTTAATCACACCTTTCAACTATATTTCAATTATCATCAGGAGTGGGTGACAACTAAAGGAGTGGTTGAAACGTCAAGATTAAAAAGATCATCTCTTTTCAGACTCGGTGATTCACGGGCTCAGATAAAATATGACAAAAAGAAATGATTTATGAAGCTCTGAGCACGTCGGGAAATTTAAGGAAAATCCTTAAATGAGAATGTGTTAACCTTTACATAGCAATGCAACTTGGTGTGCCCTACTTTAGTATGTTACTGTCTAACGCCAGAGTATTTTACTTTAATGCCAGACAATTTTATTTGTTAATGGGTTAATGTATGTTGATTTAGGTATAATACACAAGGTTCAAAATTGAGGAAGAATATCAAAAAAGAAATAAGAGATGACAACGAAAAGACAGAAGAAAACCCCACAAAAAAACACAGAACAAACGAGACAAACTTGCAGAAAAGGGCAGAAAGTCCATTCCATCTAAGAAACCAGCAGCTAAAAGCCAGCTACAGCTATGTGATAATCCTACCTCGCTCAGTCAACATCCCTCCGATGGTTCTCCACCCAGTCATCATTCCTCTGATAGTTCTCCACCCAGTCATCATTCCTCTGATAGTTCCCCACCCAGTCATCATTCCTAATGATCACCCAGACAGCCTGATTTGTTTATCGATTCCTCGCACAGTCATCCTTCTGATGAGATCCCAACACTTGAGCACCCAGATGTTAGAGCAGAACCTCCAGAAGAGCTGGCTGTGCCAAAAGAAATTCAAAGAAGCTTAATTGCAAAAGTAGTTGAAATCCAAACACTTCTTGCTTGGTTTCCGGACCACCTGTTATGAGTGGAAGGAGGTCACTGGGGGCCAGAATCGTCACAAGAAGCCCAGTGGCAAGTTGGCTGACTTGTTTATTAAGTAGATGAAACATTAGCTAATGTTAATCTATTGTGGAATGACGATGCCATGGTACACATACGCTGTCTTTATTGAAGGCAATCACCTTTTAACAAAGCCTAGGAAAGTAGGCACGTTACAAGCTTACCTCACTGCTTTGTTAATGTTTTACAACTTTTTGTTGACCCGAGCATCAAGTTTGGCAAACAAGTTTGGTTTGCAGCAAGACAATTTTGGTTTAATAAAAGAATTTCAAGGCAGATTGTCAAACTGGATGAAGTCATTCAAGAATCAGCTAACAGGAAAACCGAAGTTCATCATGAAGATTTTCAATCACTTTTGACAAGCTCCAGGGGTGGAAAAACTATCGGACCACAGGTCCCAGAAAATGTTTTGAGTTCCCAGAAAATAGAGTCCCCCAAGAAAGAAAAAAAAGATAATTGTTAAAATTTAATAGATAAAAGGAGAGATTCAGAAAAAAAATTTAAAAAATTCTAATCAATAGAAAGAATGTTACCTGTACTGTAGGTATGACCTCAGAAATACAATTATGAGTGCATCCATCTTAATAGTGTGTAAATGTATAGTGTGTAAATGTATAGTGTGCAATAGTGTGTAAATGGTTTTATTCATTTCTTTCATTTTCTTCTTTCTATCACATTTGCACTATTTTACAGCCCTGCTACCTAGCAACTGCAACTCTGCAACAGCTCATTTCCAGGTAGTATATTGATTTACACGCGACTCGTGTGTCACTCCTGCTATCTGCCAGGAGTTGCTACAATATTTGTTACAAGAAATCGTGCTTTCTGATTGGATAATTAGCTCTGCGCAAGCTCAAAGTTGAACTCCTGATATCTCAAGAAAGCAGGAGTTGGAGTTGTATATCTTTTCTAGCATCTTTCTGCAATATAAAGTATGAGCATATTATTTACTGCCAGTTCATGAATTGTTTGTCTGCTTTATGCCTTGAAACAGGAGAGCTTATATTGACTTAAAAAAATTATATACCAATTTAGACTTACAAAGTGTATCAGTGTATGTAGATATTTGGCTGTATTTTATGTTATTCTTCAGCAATTTTATTAATACTGTAGCCACGTAGGATACAGATTTGCACCCAGAGTGCCAAGCGTAGTGGTCTGTGGTCTGTAGTTGATACAGGTAACACTATTATAGATAACAGAATGCTAGGCGTAGCTTCATAGTGTAAACAACACTACAGCACTGCACCGTTATCGGTTAGAATCAGAGTTTGTTAGAGCGCTGCACCAGAATCAAAGGGGCATAGTTGCATTTTGCAACTGTTCCTGGTTAGGTTTAATAAATGTATATAAATTTGCACTCAATGATTCCCATCTACAAGACCCTTCAACTATTATTCAATTGAGTGAGATCACTACAACAATTGTCAACATTATGCAATTCCAAGTGAAAGATCATATTAAAGAAGTGTATTAAATTGTATACATGATGTTTTGCCACTTGATTATATTTAGCTAAATTTTCAAATAAGTTGAAAAAGATATAGTGAAATATGATTAAAATGCACGGAAATACGATTTCAAAAAGTTACAAAATTTTTTCTAAACAATTATTAAATTTTCCCATGTTTCTCTGTAAAACATCATGGAAAAATTTGATAGTTTTCTCAAAAGCCTTGACATTTCGGAATCATTTTTGCAGAATATAAAAAACAAAACAACTTGATATTTGCATCAGTCTATACATTCGTAATACCATACCTGTTCTATACATTTATATTATTATACCTTCCTTGCATTGAAAACACTCGAATTTCAGGAAAAAAACGCCTTGAAAAATGTGCTAAAATCAATGTCAATATTTTATGCAAAAAAAGTTGTTTTGAGAGTTCATGTGTATTAATAAAAACATATGTCAGCAAATTACATATTCCTCCCAGAAGCATTGCCAATAGCCGACCGTAGAAAATAGTAGAAACTATCTTATGTGTACTATAAGAACAAAATATTGATAACTATGTTTGACATATTTCTAGGGGTGGTGGTGGTAGTCTCCAGAGAAACGTCCATATTGTTATGACTTATATTTTAATCGTTCCATCTCTTAAACATGAAATAATCTATTTATCTATAATGGTTTATGTCTAGGCTTATATACAGTAATTATATAGTAATTTACATATTCAATTCTAACTAACAATATAACTCATGCACACTATTGCACAACATCTCTCTCTACCTTTTTTTAGTAAAGATGCTCTTTACTAAATAATATTATATACTCTAATAAATGTTATTTTTCTTCTTTTGTCTCTTTTTTCTCTAACTATTAATTAAATTAATGATTATAATTGTTTTACCAAGTTCTCTAATATAATGTTCTCTAATGTGTCCACTAAGTACTCTAATTATATATTGTTTCACTACGTTCTCTAATTATACTCAGCTATACAGTCCAATCTCCAAATCGTTCTGGTTTCCTGATTTCTCGACCAGATTTCATTCTTAGGGTATTCTGTTCATCGAATTCTTCTTCATCACTTCCGTTTGTGTCATATAACTCATATTGTATTTGTTCTTCATCTCTATTCTTCTTCTTTGGATTTCTCTGACTGGATGGAACTACAGCTTTATTAACATTTTTTATGTGCGATTTATCTCTCTTGAAGATTCTTCCATTTCCGAACTGCACAGTAATGGAATGTTCAGTTGTTCCAATTACGATCCCTACTTCAGGTCCGAGTCGATCGGTTCTTTTATCTTTCATCAATACTCGATCACCCAATCTGATGTGTGATTTCTTGACGTTCTTTTTTCTATCATAATACTTCTTCGCTTTCTTTTTATATTGTTCATCACAATTTCTTATAACTTCATCTTTTACTCTTCTCTTCATTGTCGGTAAAATATTCAAGTTCATCTTTCTACCAAACATCAGCTCAAATGGGTTTTTTGATGTGGATGGATGAGGTGTGGCTCTGTAGGCTTCCAATATTCCGTCTATCTTCTCTTTGTAATCAGTGTTTTCTTTCTTTGCTATCCGAATAGCTTTGTTCACATTTTGCATGAATCGTTCACATTCACCGTTGGCTTGTGGATGTCTCGGTGTGATTCTGTGGTGGTAAAATCCCTTCTTCTCTGCGTATTCGTGAAATTGGTGACCATGAAATGGTGGTCCGTTGTCTGTTTTGACTGTATGCACTTTTCCAAAAGTGGCAAAGATTGAATCCAAAACTGGCTTAATGTTTGCGAACGATGTTGAATTACAGTATCCCACAACCGGATATTGACTGTATAGGTCATATGCAACTAAAATGTATTTCCCATCTTTCAAAGGGCCTTTAAAGTCGATGGATATTGTGTGCTCGCAGAGGTTCATTGTACGTTCTATCAAAGGTCATTTGGCAACTTAAGCAGCTCTTGATGGCATCTTTCGCCAACTTCATCATTCCTGGGAACCAAATCCTTTCTCGTAAAAGATCCACGGTGCACTGCTCTCCAGAATGCCCGATCTTGTGAGCCTCGTCTATAAAAGCACTTTGCATGACGAATGGGACGACTAGGAGATCTTTGTAGAAGACAAGTCGTTTCACAACCGATAGATCTGGAGCAACTCTGTAAAACTTCGATATTATCGGATTGTTCTTGTGTGATTTACATAAATCATTTTCTACTATGTTTCTGAATATCTGGTAGTCCTTATCTTCACTCGCTCTCTTCTTCACTCGCTCTCTTAGAAAAAAAAAGAGCTCTTAGTGCAGCCCTTAGCAACAGAGGCTACAGGCAAAGAGAAAAAGTACGAACAAACTGGGCCCCAAGGGTTTGTCTCTTATCCCTATGAAGAAGTAACAATCCCCAACATCATAAAGGCTTGTAACAAGCATTTTCAAAAAAGGCTTAAAGGAAAGTCTGTAGATGTCCTAGCGAGCAAACTCGGTCCTTCGTGTTCAAAAATAGCACAGCTGCAAAATCTGAAGTTGATCCACATGCATTTTATCAGCAACTCTTCTGAGTCTTCCGTTCTTCAATCCAGCCTTCGATATTCCGAGCATAGAAGAGAAGGTTCATTGTTACCATCGATACCACCAATATCTGTCCCGTATCCCAAGGTCAGTAGTAGCCTGAAGTGACGCAACTGTTCACCCCTGCGAGGGAAAAAATTCCCCAAAAGTCTTCCAGTAACAAGAATGATGAAGCTAGGTTTGCCCATTAACGAAACCGAGTTAACAGACTGTGAGAATCAAACATTAATTGAAGTTTCAACCTTTGACGTTGATAAGATGGTTTGGTCAGCTCCAAAGTTTTTTCCTTTTACCATAGAAAATGAGGAATTTGGTAAAGGGGGATTCTGTTCTGCCCATAAAGCAACCTCAAATTCTCCAGATTTCCAAAGAAAAGCATATGTTGTCAAATATTTCTTACAAAGCACTAAAGATGTTATAAGTGAGCTTGGTGAAACAGAATTGGAACATGCTAGAAAATCTGTGCAAATGCAGGCATTGGCTAAACATTTTGCTGAACAATTTGATGCTAATGTGAAGAAGGAAGGAAATGAAGAAGAGTTTGGAAAGACCTTTAGGTACTGTATATTATTAGTATAGGTAATCCTGTGATGGCAAGTACAATTAGGGATTACTATGATGAGTGATGTTAGGAAATTTTGCCAAAGTTGGATGAGCCGCCATTATTTGTTTATTATTAGCATAACAAAATTGCATCTACCATCCCCTCATTGTCAAGATAAAATAATAATCTCTAGTCAAAGTACAGTCCTGTCAGACTTTGAACTAAAATTTGTTTGTGTTTTTATTTAATGCTTTTGCTTTAAGTTCCCTATGGCAATTCCATTTGAGTGAATTGTGTTGATTCAATATGTTTCTGCCAATTTGTTTTGAGAAATAATTGTACTCCTCTCAACCAATCAGCATCCAGTAATTTTGTCATGCTAATAATAAATCAGGAAATAAAAGCTATAATAACAAAAGGCATGAATGTTACATGCTAAATTAAACTAACTTATCATATTTCATTAAGATATGTCGACACTTTCCTGGGAATCATCAATGATTCACAGAAGGTTGTCACAATCGAAGAATATGTGACAAGCAATTTTGAGAAGTATGTAAACAATGATGGTGTTCTTTGTGTGAAAAAGAATGAAGACCAGCAAAAAAAGGCGGAGAGTCTTGTCCACTTTTCTTACATCAAATCCAGTAAGAAATTGATGCTTGTGGATATCCAAGGAGCAGGCTACAACCTTATGGATCCTGAGATTGCTTCACTTACTGGGGCTTTTAATGATGAGAACAATTTCCTATTTTGTGCTGGTAACTATTCAAAAGAGGCTTTTACCAACTTTTTAAGGCACATAAGTGCAATGCTTTTTCCAATTTGTTAAAGCTCACACCTGAATTGTGTGAATAAACAGTTACTCAGAGCTTTTAGTTATCTATATATAAACATTTTTTGCATAACTTTGGCATTATTTTAATTATTGTTGTTTTGTTCATGCACATAGACTATGGTACATGTGGAACAGTTTGCTGCACTCATTGTGTATGAGTCTTGCTCAATTGTCATGCTTTGCACTGCTTTATTTACAGGTTTCATTAATTTGTGGGCACCAAAAATTGGTTTGTACATATTATACTGTATTTATTATGTATTTATTACATATTATATTTGTGCATACCATATTGTACAAATTTTTCTTCTTTAATAATAAAGTAAAATTTTAATAATACATTAAAATAAATCATTAAGGAAACATGATCAGGCTTTGCATTGTGAGCTGTAGAGGCTCCAATGTATGTATGTGCACAGGGCCGCCCAGAGGTTGGCGGGGGCCCGGGGCAAATTTTTTTTAGGGGCCCCTATCTAAAAAAATTTTCCCGGAAAAATTTTTTTCCGGATAACAATTTACTGAGCTTCGGTACTGAGCCCAAGAAAACAGATATCTTGTCCTTTGCGCGGAAATATTTAACACACAAAAAAGGCTGGGGCCCTACAAAAATTTTTCAGGGCCCCCTAGAAACTCGGGGCCTGGGGCAATTTGCCCCCTTTGCCCCCCCCCCTTCCTGGGCGGCCCTGTATGTGCAGAGTGGACTGTATCGCATTGGGCTATTACATTCAAAACTGTACCCCGCCCCTGTTGAGGACCTCTGTTTATCAAGATTTTACCCCACTGGAAAGCTTTCAAACCCCTCTGGAATTGCATTTTTAGGCCTTTGCCCCTCTGGGAAACAGCATTTTTCTATGATAATGCCTCTGGAAAATTGACTGTGTCTCCCCTCTGGAAAATTGAGATCCTCAACAGGGGGGGGGAATGGTTTTTTAATGTAATAGCCCATTATGAAATTATGATTATAATATTTCCTTTAAATGTCTGGATTGTTATTTGCAGTCTTTTCAAAATATCTTTGTTTCAGCAAGAGATAAGTTTGAACAAATTCATTGCACTTGATAGCTTCGGGATTTGGCATCAACTCATTCAGATCTTTTCGAAATAATGATGGGATGAAATCATCAGGAGCATCTAAGATTCCAGATAACTCTGCAATTTCTTCAAGATCTTCCTGAGATACAAGGAAGCCTAATTTTTTAAATTAAGCAGAGTTAAAATATTTGCATTAATGATGAAATTGATTTAATATATCAATTGCTGGATAAGAAACCTTTCTTTTCCATTCCATATCTGCTTGGAAACTCATAGATGTGATTTGGCACTCCATCTGCCAATAATGTATCTTTTTTAGTGCGGATCCAATGACTATTCCACACCGTGTCTCTGAACTCATCCAATTCTCTTTGCATGACTGGGATCATGATGAAAGCAAGGATGAACCTAAAATAATATATGACAGATATTGACAATGGTTTGTTTTATTTTTATCAATATTGAAATTATATCTTTCATAACCCATTAAAGAGCAATGCGCACTACTTTTGTATTTACTCTGTATAATGTAAAATAATAAAATACAATACAATAAAAGTAAAATACCTGTGTATTTCCTCACCAGGGTCATAGTGACATTCCTCCTTCAAACAACATAAACCAGACTTAAAATACTTTTCTAACCTATCATGAAGTTCCCTCCACCATCGTTCAATCTGAAAAAAAATTCAAAAATATATAAATTTTCCATTTTTTTGTGAAAATTATTTAGTAATTGAATGAGATTTAACCTGGTTTGATGGGGAGGGTCCAAATATAATTGACTCTGTAGGATCATCCAAATCGCCTTGTTTACTTCAAAGGTATGCGTGTACAGTACTCATTGTGGTTGTCTCTGTTCCTTTATCCAAGCGAAGATAGTGAGGAATTGTATGACTTTCTAAGAGAGCTTCAATATACCACTTTGCTACCAGAATTGGATTAGAATTGTATTCCAAATTTTGAGCCACAGCAGCTTACGACTGGCTGTATCAATGCAACCGTAGATGGCCAATGGAAATGTTGAGTTTTGAAAACCCATCATCTTATCATGGCCATCAAGAGAATATGTCCAATTCGGGCCAAATGTGACCTTTGGCCTTCGCTTTCTTTGCCCCTGGAGCTCTAGCTGCAAGTCCATCAGGGTGAAGATCAAACATAATATTATGCACTAAATCTCTTGGAACCCTCATATCGTACTTTTGGCGAATCTTACGAGTCCTTGCCCGATATCTGAGCAATTTTCCAGGCCCATCAAGTTCTTACAGTACGGCTTTGCCTTGCATCTTCGAGTCTAACGTTCACGTCAATATATTTTATCTCGAAATATTTAAGCTGTTGATCAAGAGAACGAAGACTCCATTTGTAGCACGAGTAATCCCTTCTCATGAAGTCTAGAAGTTTCATTAAATCGTTTTTCAACTTTAAATCATGTTTCCAAGCCGCCATCTTTGAAGTATGGGATAATCATGGTTAATCGGGTAATACATTGGATATGAGGGACAATTCTGTGCACAGACGTTTTGGCAATTTGGCAGTTCTTGGCCACATGAATATGTTTTTTAAAATGACTTTGCAGTATTAAATAAATTTATTTATTTTTTGTTTTCAGAACTGATATTCTTAAATAATTTTAAAAATACTTTAATATTAAGGAAAAATGTAGAAATATTTTTTAAAACGAAATGGCAGTTCTCGGCCACCATACTGGTATATCTCAAGCAGTGTTGTAATGGAGAAGGAAGGTGAAAATAATAGAGAAGAAAGTTAAGCAAATGAGTCCCAAAGATAGACTGTGTACACTATGTATGGACGAAGTATCACTGAAAACCCACTTGTTTTACAGCATAAAGAGTGACAAGATCATTGGTTTGGAGGATTTCAGTCTTTACAGAACCAACAAAGTGGCGACTTCAGCAATTTATTACTACTTCCGAGTATTTGTGGGAAGTGGAAGCAACCAATTGGCTATTACTTGGTCAATGGTGGATGTCCTAGTGATGTCTTGGAAATCCTAATAAAGGGAGCAATTGACAAAGTAGAAAGCATCGGTTTGAATGTTGTGGTGGTTATGTCAGACATGGGATCCAATTTCCACAGTTTGGCTCTTCACCTGAATGTTACTCCTGAACAACCCTGGTTTATGCACAACAATAAGAAGTATTTCCTGATGTTTGACCCTCCACACTTGATAAAGTGTGTGCGAAACAACCTAATGAAATACTGCTTTAGATTTGGCCAATATGTTGCTACCTGGAAGGATATCGAAGATTTCTACATGAAAGATTCAGCACTTCCAATCAGATCTGCACCGAAGTTAACAGAAAAGCACATACAACCTAACTAATTTTAACAAAATGAGAGTTAAGCTTGCAACACAAGTACTAAGTCACACTGTAGCAGCTTCAATTTGCATGTATGTTAGTCTAGGGGACTCCCATCAACTGCCATGGGAACAGCTGAGTTTCTTTTGAAGTTTGATTCAGTGTTTGATTGTGTAAACTGCTCTACATTACATTCAACAAAAAAGCTCAAGTGCCCACTTGATGATAAAAGCCCAAACAAAGAGTTCATGAAAGAAGCAATCAATTTTATGAAGGGGTTAAAGGTTTTCGATGGAAATGAGGTAACAGGTCGAATTAAGTGCCTTAAAGGGTGGGCAGTTACACTCAGTGCTATTCTAGCCATTTGGGATCACCTAAAAATAAACCATGATTTTAAGTATATTCTTACACGAAGGCTTAACGCTGACCCATTAGAAAATTTCTTTGGCACTATAAGGCAACAGGGGGACAATGATAGCCCAACACCAGTACAATTTGTAAGTGCATTTAGGAAACTATTTTTTAGTTCATTCCTCACATCCTCAGCTGGAAATTGTGCTGCAGATTTTGATGACCTCATCGCTCAGTGTACAGAAACCACCAAGAAGTCAAAATCAGTGCTGGCTACAACACCTCAACCTCAAACCTTGGCGATTGGACCCACTGACTACAAAGATCCAAGTGTTGTTTCCAACATGGTCAAGGAGAATACTATCACATATGTTGCTGGCTATCTGCTCCACAAGTGTTCACAAAAACACAGCTGCTCAACCTGCAAAGAAGCACAAGAGTCAAATGATCTGGATGACAATAAGACATTTCTTTGTTATTTCTAGGCATATGACCAAGACAAATCACAATTTGGAGGTCTGCATGTGCCTTCAGCTAGTTTCCTGGAGTACATCATTCAACTTGAAGCAATCTTTTTCAAAAACTTCTCCATTTATACAAAGAGTTCTTCTGTTGGAGGTGATATCCTCAAGTTACTCAAGAGAGAACCTGTGCCATTCCAGTACTGTGAAGAATTCCCGCTGGAATATCTCCAGAAGCTGTTCTTGAGAATGAGAATATATTACTCATTGATATTTGCCAACCATGATCTTCGGACAACTAAGAACAAAAAGGACAGAAAATATTTGAAGGTGTCATATTTTTAATCGACATGACTTCAGTCATTATAATCATTAATATTTTTATTAAGTTTGATATTTATATTTACAATTTAGAACTTTAGAATGGCCTATACAGTGGTCTATTATAGCTACTGCCATAATTTGTTCAGGTAGCCTCTCAGAAGAGAGAACAAAAACTGATCAACTTTGTTTGGAACAGAACTGAACTGAGAGGACCATATTTAGTTACACCAAAAATATTATAAAGATAAACACAGAAAAACAAGCTATAGACCAAAATATACTGCATACTGCTCGCCTGCTAAGCAGCCTTATATAGTTATATAAACATGACAACAAGAGCACAGTCATCGAAATAGCTTTCTATTTGCGTTGAATTATCATTGAACAATTAAAATTTGATAACTTGCCTTTCTTTTACGAATACTACACATAGGAAGAAAAATTCGTCCACAAAACCTTGAAATAACACCAATTTAACTTTCAACCATGAAAGTTAAAACATTCAGCCCAGTGAGCCCACTCCTAACACCTGACGTTCGTCACGATTTTCTGCCTTTTTGCTTGTTTATTTTACTCCAAACGCGTCTAAAATTAAGCAGTATCCTCCTCTATCTGTTTTTTATGTATTGATCGGTACAAGAAAACCAAAAAATATTACCTTTTAAGTGTAAAAACCATGCCGATGTAGTACAATTCTAAACAATATTCACTCCTCTTTCCTTACTAAGAACATGGCAGCCAAACCAGAAGTCAGATGGTTCCGTTGGACACTTTGCACCCCCGAGTGAGATTACTGCTCAATTCCTATACTGTGGTTGCAGGCATCAACATTGCAAGCGTTGGCATTATTTACATCAACGTTCAGCATTGCAAGGAACAAAGGTTTGTTGTTGTTGAAATTGAAGTTTTTCGGTGTTCATTGTTGCATGCTTTGGAGTTGGATGTTGATTTCTGAAGTTGCAATGGTTGCAGGGTGTGCTGTTGAATGTTGAGGAGTGGGTTTGGAGGTTGTTGTCCAATGTTGATTGTTGGGTGGCAGCGTTGGTTGTTGATTGGTAGCATTGGTTTTTGGCGGCAATAGAATGCCATATAAAATTGGCTTGTTCTGTTGCCTGTGGTCGTGCACGCTTTCTATACGCAGAACACAAATTTTAAACTCGCTCGAGTCTTCGAATTTTTATCGAATTTGTAAAGCTTTTTCAAGTCCAATGTTATGCTTACATTTTTTTTGGACTTTGGCAACTGTCACTTCTATATTTTTATAAAGTTTTGGTTTCTTAGTGTGATAAATCTGTGTATAGGTTCTATAAAATGTGGTAAATGCGCCTAGCAGTAAACAGACTTGATATGAAATCTGATCTTAATTTACCTGTATGACAATGAGACACACATGTTTAATATATGTCACCTCTGATTGCCCTTTAGACTTTCCAAAGTCCGTGGTCCCTAGCGAGCGACTTGGGCAAGTCTAATTTCCCTTTAACCCCTGGTCTTTGCCACTACAATATATATTGCTTCTTCTCAGTTCCATTCACAGATCACTAGTCGCTGCGAGTAATCGCTGTGCTTGATGTAATTTGTGCTGTTTACTGTAGTTCTATTTGCTTTTAATGCCCGCAGCAATCCCTACCTTGCAGGTACCCTAGTTGTATTTTTAATGTTTATCTGTACAGTATATTCTCTCCAAATCATGCCCCTCATGGAAATCAGCTCCGAGTTGTTGAGGCCAGTATGCTTAACTACATTTTTTATGTATGTATGTAATCGCCATCCAATCAAATGCATGCATCTAGTAACTTGCCGAGCACGCTCACAAAAAAAGTGAGCACACTAGTTATAACTCTGCATATGTATCTACTCTGTGCATCTACTCTGTGTTTACACACTACGATTTGTCATGTACGATTCGTATTCTGGCGTATTAAAATGAGTGCTGGCCCCATAATTCATTGTAGCCATTTCAAATGTAGCCATTTCAAATGTGGCCAGTTTACACGTGTTTACTCAATGACATACGCCAGAAAACTAATCGTACATGATTAATTGCAATGGTTAACCCATTGGGTTGCATTGCACCCTGATGCACCCTACTTTAGTATTTTACTCTGTCTAATGCCAGATGATTTTACTCATCAAGGGGAGAGCACTGGCACTTAATGGGTTAACTGGGCTATTTACCCATGTGTCCAGTCAACCCATTCAGTCACATTGCACCCTGATGCGCCCTACTTTAGTATTTTACTCTGTCTAACGCCAGATAATTTTACTCTGTCTAACGCCAGACGATTTTACTCATCAAGGGAGAGCGCTGACGCTTAATGGGTTAAACGTAGCCACAGAATAAAGATCAGTACCAGAAGGGCCACTCAGCGGTGCAACGTGTCACCATTTTTCTATGCAAAAATATGCAATTGACTGGCCAGGAAGATGGTGGCCAGCCAATACAGCGCATTTATTGGCCAGAAAATGTAATCGCCTGGCTAGGAAGATGGCGGCCAGGGTGACAGAAACTTCAAAGCTTCCGACGTAAGTGGCCCTTCTGTGTGCCTTATTCTGTGACATAGCTTTACATGTTTTTTTTTTAAATTTTTGCCTCCTTCACTCCTGGAAAACACCCATATTTTGAGATCAGTGAGATAACCACCCATACACCATGCACCTGCGATATTTGATCAACTTTAGACTTTGATAAATAGCCAGGTGGAATTAGTACCTTCGCCCTGGGCTTACGCCTGGAACAACACTCCGCGCAGTTGGCTCGGGTACCAGAGTAGCGAACGAAACATGTCTGTCAAGTGCATTGAACTATAAGTAAACTGGAACGATAAGTTTGCCGCCATCTTTGAAGCCAGCCATGGGCGTTTTCTGCAGGTAGCCCCAGTCCTTTTTTACAAAATGGATGCAAAAAATACAGCTTAAAAATCGTTAATATTTTCTCACTTTTACTTCTTTCAAAGCATTTTTATTTATCCTAGAGCACACTTAGACAACACAACTTCTATCTAAGGCACATAAAATAAGCAAATATTGTTTAACTGTCGAAATATGACACAAACAAAACAATGCAAAAAACGGCACGAAAATTTATGGTTTTTCTGAGTTTTTAAACTTTCCAGAAAGAAATTTTTTTACAATTTAGGTAGAAAAATCTTAGATACGGTTGATAATGGATGTTCAAACATCCAGAAACGTACTTTAATAAGTTAAAATTAAGGATTAAATTAGTAAAAATACTTCGTGAAAAATTTTGTGTATTTATTTTCATATACACACCTGCGAACAGGCTATACTTGAGCATCCAAAATTTGGCTTCACCCAAACATAGGCCTTTATCATATGAGTTATTGTTCAGGTTTACTTATAGTTCAATGGTCAAGTGATAAGTTCATAATTAACAATTATTCATCGAAGGCGAGGTGATTATCCCCGAGCCTGAGGTGAATTTACACTGAATTTATTTTAATTTCGCTTATTTCTTTATCAGAAACTTCCGCAAAATGGCTAGCCGCCAGCCTGCAACCGCAATTTCATATAGCCTACATGCAATGATTCATGCATAATAGGATGTGTTATTATATTATAAAGAATTAGGTTCAACTGATTAAGCAAAGATGACTACATCTTCTTAACCTGTCAGCAAAAGATGACTGCATCTTTCTGATCACAAGAGTCTCCACTAAATTGGTCTTTGTAATATAAACACAAATTTGCGCTAGCTTTGGCGTTTGCACACTGATTTTAAAACAAAAAGACTTCGTGTACTGTTTGCGGTCTCTTGATATACATGTAGCTATACATTCTACTCATTTGGCTGCATGGCCAGTTCTAGTCAGTGCAATTCGCGCAAAAATAAGGCTTGTTGAATTATAACTATGATAATACAGACCTAAAAATATATAGCTACCGTATGTAACTGCAACCGCAATATCATATACAATGATTCATGCATAATAGGATGTGTTATTATATTATAAAAATTTAGGTTCAACTGATTAAGCAAAGATGACTGCATCTTCTTAACCTGTCAGCAAAAGATGACTGCATCTTTCTGAACACAAGAGTCTCCGCTAAATTGGTCTTTATAATATAAACACAAATTTGCGCTAGCTTTGGCGTTCATTTGCAAACTGATTTTAAAACAAAAAGATTTCGTGTACTGCACGTTTGCGGTCTCTTGATTTAGCTATACATTCTATTTGGCTGGCCAGTTCTGGTCAGTAAATTCGCGCAGAAATAAGACTTGTTGAATTATAACTATGATAATACAGGATATTATAGCCACCGTATGTATAGCTGCAACCGCAATTTCATATAGCCTACATGCAATGATTCATGCATAATAGGATGTGTTATTATATTATAAAGAATTAGGTTCAACTGATTAAGCAAAGATGACTACATCTTCTTAACCTGTCAGCAAAAGATGACTGCATCTTTCTGAACACAAGAGTCTTCGCTAAATTGGTCTTTATAATATAAACACAAATTTGCGCTAGCTTTGGCGTTTGCAAACTGATTTTAAAACAAAAAGATTTCGTGTACTGTTTGCGGTCTCTTCATATAGCTATATACATTCTATATTTAACTGCTGGCCAGTTCTAGTCAGTACAATTCGCCCAGAAATAAGGCTTGTTGAATTATAACTATGATAATACAGACCTATAATAGCTACCGTATCGACTGCAACCACAATATCACATAAAATGATTCATGCATAATAGGATGTGTTATTATATTATAAAGAATTAGGTTCAACTGATTAAGCAAAGATGACTGCATCTTCTTAACCTGTCAGCAAAAGATGACTGCATCTTTCTGAACACGAGAGTCTCCACTAAATTGGTCTTTATAATATAAACACAAATTTGCGCTAGCTTTAGC